TTTCGCTTAAATCATTTAAATTGGTAACAACCAATTTCCAATACAAAATTCCAACACTTTGCACTTTGAATGCCGTTAATTATCATCATAGGCATGTTTAGTATGTAATAGTCAAACAATCCATTGTTTTAACGAGACAATGAGGTTTTTGCAATTAATCAGTTAATTTTAGAGAAAGAGAGTAGATTCATCCCAAAATAAGGGCCCACAATAATGTCTCTTGAACTTTGACCGTTTGAGCTCCATTAAAAAGTTAAGAATACATTTCAAAATAGTAAATTGTTGCAAAACATGTGGTTAGAAAATAAGGAAAAATCTTAGGTTTTGTGTAATATTATTTTATTAAAAAATGCGTGGTTGAAAAGAAAAGAGAAAAATATATTTTGAAAAAAATGGGAATCTACAAAAGCTCCCTTGTTTGAGCCCCATTTTTTAATGCATTTTTGAACAGTGATTTAACCCTGTTTTAATCACACGTTCTTCAATAAAATAATATTACAAGTAACCATAACGTACCTCATATTTTGCATTTGACTATACTTAGAAGGAAGATAAATTTACTGACATCTATTTGAATTGTTTTTTCAAACATGATTTTCGAAGTCAGTTCTTTTACGAAAAATTACTTTCTAGAAAAGTAACTTTTAACCACAATACCGACATGCTCAAAATCATGCCTATTGAATCATGTCTCTTGTCAGTCGGAAAGAACCTAGAACATGTAGCAATATGGTAAAGACTTGGGAAAAATTGGCTTTACCACTCAATGGTGCTCTCTCTCAAGATAGGTCTTCAAGTCGCTGTATTCTGATGGGGCTTTGAGAGAGAGAGAATAAAGTGCAAGAAATATCTAATGAATTAAAGAAAAACTAGCTACGAATTGTTGGAATAAAACTATATTGAAGAAATTTAGAAAGTTCGATTCACATTTACATAATAATCTAGAAAAGAAATTTTCATCAAATAAAAAAGATAAATCAAAATTCCACAACCTGTTTTTATTTCTTAACTCAATCCGACTATTTCTTGATCTATATGCTGTGAGACTGATTATACCCAGTAGAAAGCGCCGCCATTTCTTTTTCATTCTTTTCCATTTCATCCCTAAACCTCTTGTAGATATCAGTTTGGTAATATTTCCTTGTTTTGAACACCAATATCATTGAAACGAG